TCAGCTCAGGTCATGATCTCGCGGTCCGTGAGTTCGAGCCCCACATCGGGCTCTGTGCTGACAGCTCAGAGCCTGGAGCCTGTTTCAGATTCTGTGTCTCCCTCTCTCTGACCCTCCCCTGTTCATGCTCTGTCTCTCTCTGTCTCAAAAATAAATAAATGTTAAAAAAAATTTTTTTTAATAAAAAAATAAAAATTTTAAAAAGGCATAAACGGGCCTCAAAAGCTCAAGGAAGGAAAATTTATGGGCAAAAACCTTAACATTAACCTGAAATCCTACAGTTTGGGAGAAGACCCCCCCCTTCTCAATTTTCGAGTTGGAGCGTCTCATTCCAACTTCTGAGATACATGTATGTGTGGGAGCAAAGCCTGACACACCTGGGGGGGACCATCTATGTGCCAGAGAATGTATAACACCGTGGGTGTGAATCCCAGCTCCTCCTCTTCCTATCGGTACAGCTTTAGCCACATTTCCTCATTTCTCATTGCTTTGGTTTCCTCGTCTACAAAATGGGAATAGAAGAGGGCTCGATCTCAAGAGTCGTGTGCAAACGAACCAGTGCGTTGTAATGATTTTAGAATTGCGCCTGACACGAAGTAAGCCCTCAGTAACTGTCAGCTCACTGCGGGTGCCACCCCCACTTACCGTTGCTGTTATTAAGACAAGGAAAGAGCAATTAAAATACTGTTTAATTAGCAGATGAAAAGGTGATGAGGGCCTGCAGTAGGTGCCAGTTCAAGTGGACAGATCACGAGGGTAAGAGAGATAATGAGCTTATAGAATCTCACAATTACTCTCCCAAGGATATGATTTAATTGGTCTGAGGCAGTGTTGGTATCTTCGTTTTTTAAGTTCACCCAGGAGGTTCTAAGGGGCAGCCAGAATGGAGAATCCTTGCCCTAATCACAAATCAGAGGCCAAAGGGAAGGAGCTAGAGACAACCCCAGTTTGCTAGGTGCCGGCTTCTCTAGGCTGGAGGCGTAAGCAGAACTTGGAGGTTCCCGGAAGTAGTTGTGGAGGTTTGGACACTGGTGTTTTTATTAGAAAGTTGAAGACGCTTGCTTATGAAGTTGCATTTAGAATCACGAGCAGAATATTTTAAGATGAGGTTGGCCCCGGGAGAAGGGCAAGTGAAGGAAACCGCCTGCGTACTTGGCAGAGATTTAGTGAGTCGTGTCAAAGCTGCCTGTCAAGGAAATGTGTATAAACAAGCCATAACTGAGCCAGGGTGGGGATGGAGTTAAGTGTTATTACTGCTTGGGTTTTATGCCTTAAAAACAAGCTCTAAAAACCGAATAGCTGTGATATTTTCTATGTAACGATTTGTAATATCTGATCACTGTAATCTCCTTGCACGTAGACTGTTACCCAGACCGTTACCGTGGCCCCATGTGCCTGGCCCCCGTCTTTTCCCTCTTCTCTCCCTGGAGCACTGTGCCCAGCCACACAAAACAAATATATGCACTTCCAGAACATAACCAACTCGAAGATAGGAATCCCACCTGCTTTGGTCACGTTCATTCACCCAGCGCTTATTGTTAACACCTAACACAGAGTAGGTACTTGTAGAACATTTGTGAATGAATGGAAGAATAAGTGATGGGGGAAAGGTTGATACCCCTTCTAAAGCCCTCTCTCCTTCTTGCTCCATTCCCTCTTCTCCTACAGGACTTTTTTTTTTTTTTAACTGAATCTGTTTTTGAACCCATAAACGTAATGCCCGTGTTGTGTAAAACACTTGGGAAGATGCAAAGTGCACAGAAAGAGCCCCATAATCCCACAACCCACACATGTTTTGTTATACAGCATTTCGTTCTCTTCTGTGTTTGTGTGTGTGTGTGTGTGTGTGTGTGTGCGCGTGCACCTGTAACTTGCTTTCTAGAAGATGACCAAAATGTTTCCTTTAAATAGTAAGCTCCCGGGGCGCCTGGGTGGCGCAGTCGGTTAAGCGTCCGACTTCAGCCAGGTCACGATCTCGCGATCCGTGAGTTCGAGCCCCGCGTCGGGCTCTGGG